AACAAAAAAAAAAAAAAAACAACAACAAAAAACAAAACAACAACAATAATAAAGAACAGAAAATGTAACTATGATTTCTCTATATAAATCGTAATGCCTTTTTGCTTAGCTCACTGTCCACTGCTAACTTCTCACATACCTAAAATTTCATATGATTATCCTTTAATTATCTCTAGGAATGATAACCCGTGTGAGCCGTCCTGTAGCGGTCATTTTTATATAGAAGGAAGATCTAGACTTTCAAGAAGGGAGTGTAATGGTGGAGGTTGGTATGAAAAGAGACATTTCTTCATGCAAATGTTTCTTTGTTGTTGTTACTTACATTGTGTAAAGTGTTGTTGATAATTTATCTTGGGGTAATTCATCGTGGATAAAATTAACTTGTATGTATTGTTCTGTTTTTATCGCCTTAAATGTGACTTAAAAAATCTGTTACTATTATTTTGACTGCGTCTTTAGGTGAGCAGACAGCTGCACTACTATCACTATTAAAGTACTATTTACAAGTCTTTTTTTGTTTTCAAATGTAACTACAAGTACAATGATTCAACGATTGTATTAAATATTTCATTTAAAGGTACATTGTGCCTCAGAAATCCATATTTTGTGAAAATTGTTTAGAAATGTCAGACATGTGTTTAATAATGTTCTTTAAAAATATATTTAGAGTATGTAAGATGTTTTATGACTGAAGAAAGTAGCGCTGAACGTGAAGTAATGTGTCTTAAAGGTAGCAAAATATAAACAAAGTAGCATTTTGACTTCCATACAAAATACTAATTCACAATAATTATACCAATTGCAAACAGAGCAAAGAAAGCAAAAAAATAGTTCATCTATGTGGCAAATGAGTATTGTTTTGAAAAACTACAACAATATACCAAAAATAAAAAGTTTTGGAGAAATAGAATTGATTTAGCATTTCTGAGGCATAATGGGCCTTTAAGAAAAAAGTATCGTTTCAATAAGTTTGTTCTTTAAAGACAGATCTTTTTCATTGAATTCGTTTCCATTTTATTTCAGGACAGAACCCTCCAGGGTTACCAGGTATTGTGTAAACCAACAGGAAACCGTTGTGCATTTGTATACAATATATTTTCTTTATTATTTTATATTTATTTTATATTTAAATAATGATAAGTCTAATTTGAAACGCTTAGTCTCATTTTTTCGTAAGTTTTTACCTTTTTTCTCGAATTTTCAAAACTGACATTTGTATTTTTATCATGATTTTCCAGAAAAAAGGTTAGCATTACCACACTCATTGTAATCAAATATCATAATTTTGAGTATTAAGTTTGTTTCGAATCTCGTTTTGCTTGTTGGTAAGTAAAATGAAAGAATTTGTCACTAAACCCGTGATTTGATTATTTTGAAGCCTGGTGCCCTGTGGGTAGCCCACGAATAAGATGTTTCGCCTACCCATGCAGTGTAATGACATGCCCACGATACCCAAGAGCTAAATGTTTGTAAGTAAACAAGTTAGATTTGTAAACTCTGAACGAAAAAAAGTTGAAAAAAGTATTTTTGACGTATATAACAACATTAAAATAATGATTGAAAGGGAAAAACTACAAGTGAATCCATTACATATTTTACAACATCAGCGACCAAACGTGATATATTTTTTTAAAACAAAAAGTGGTGTCTGCTCTCTTTTGTGATACAAAAAATAAAAGCAATTTATTATATCTTGTTACTAATATAAAGCATTAATTTGCATTTACATTACTGTTAATAAAATAATCAAACATAATTTTAGTTGACAGTTTTAACCTGTTTCGTCCAAAAGTAGATTATTATTAGATAAAGAAAAAATTATGACTGCAATAATTTGACATGAGCATCTTACGAACGGTTACTCGCACTTTTAAAGTCTTGTTTTATTTTGTTACAGAGCTGATAATCCCTGTGAGCCGTCCTGCAGCGGCAACTTCTATATACGTCGTCGAGGAGGCCGGGTACGAAGACTTTCTCAAGCTGAATGTCAGGGCAGAAGGGGAAATTAAAAGACACGCGAATACTTAAATGCCAGCATCACATTTTGCAAAAAATAATTACATGCATAAGTTATTAAGTGCAATGTTTATTGATAAGATATCGTCAAATTCGGAATAAAAAAAAAATAAAAAAAATATGATCTTTATTATTTACAGTGACAGTTTTATACTTACATGCTGAGATACATTTCAAACGATTTACATTTGTACATGTACTTTTATTTGCAATTGAACAATTATTTATAATGAAAAAAAGTATATAAGATGTCTAAAATATAAATAGTTTACCCCAGACTGCACTACTCTTTCCATAAGCTGAACATAACCGATAATTTCAGAAGGGATTTTTAAAGATATTAATGTGGGTCACGTTAGTTTCAAAAAGCACAATTCTTCTTGACCTGAAAGACGGAGGTCTTAACTATTGTAATATTTCAAATATTCAAGCCAGTCTGGATACTAAAACAATATACAAAATTATACACTCTGACATACAGAACTGGAACGCAATAGGAAAATATTTTTTACAAAAATATGATACTAATGGAGAAGATAAAATTGATTATTTTCTATGCAAATGTTCTTCATTAGAAAATTTACCTTTCAAATTGAACATAAGTAAGTTTTACAAATCCGCTCTCGAAAATTGGTGTCGGTTTAAAACGAAGTTTAAGCCAAAGTCTCTGTCCGATGTAAAAGATATATTTCATTTTTGTAACTCTGAAATTCGTTTTCGCAAGAAACACTTTACTTCAATTCATTTGTTAAAAGTAATATATTGTTTTTAAAAGATATTTTGGACTTTGAAAATAATAATTTTATTAGCATAGACATTCTTTTAAGGAAATTAAAATGTAAGCGAAACTGGATTGCCGAATGGCATATTCTCAAATCGAGCATTCCTAAAATGTATATAACTGCTTTAAAAGAACATCATTATGAAACAGTGTCGAATTACACTCACTTAGACGATATTGTCTTAACGAGGAAGACGCAAACAAAAATATTGCCTGAAAATATTAAAATAAAACAAATATCTCATATATGGAATCAAAAGTAGTTAGTTTTATGGTTATCTGGTGGCAGAAATATGCCACCATACACTTGACCTCATACCTTCTGTTACTATGTATTTTTTCCTGTTTATATCAACATATATCTAAAAACATCCATTCCCGTCAGGGTCTTTCAAATATACCATGTTCCCGTTAATACTTGAAAAATATAATTATCATGACATCTGTGTAATATCTAATTAAAATAATTTTCTCCTGCATTTCTTAGAAAGCCGATGATGAAGTATAATTATATAAAAAAGCGATATTTTATTACCAGTGCGATAGAATAATGTTTCACTAATGACACGATTAATCAATTCGATTACGTGGAGAACATTTTAATTGTTTATCATTTATCATACTTTTTTGTCATTGTATCCTTATATGAATTACTTTCTGAATACATAAAGCACTTTTTAATAGAACTGGATTTTTTTTATTCATTTAAAGCAAAATAAGACATTTCATATTTTCAAATGATTAAAGAGTCGCAATATTACACGCCAGATTTTCTTTAATATCAATTTGAAAATTTATTTCATATTTCTTGTTATTCACTTTCGACATTTTCGATTAATGGTATACTAAACTTTAAAGGGACACAACTGTGGTTTCTTGACTGGAAATAATTTTCAAGATTTGTGTACCATTTGATGTAGTCTGGACAAATACATTTTTTAAGATCATTCCTCACCACGTTTTTTTTCCAGAATTTTCATTTTTATTGAACAAATTGACCAAAAATGAAAAGCGTTGCAACCATTATCTTTTGAAATCGGGCTAAGAATCTCAAAAAGAAAAATTGATATTAAATTTAATTCTGAGTATATTCTTTACTATCCTTTGCAGATTTTGCCATTTTCCATTTTAAGAGCTTAACTTGTTCCATGTCATACTGTCAAATTTTTAGTTTTTTTTTAACCTCAGTAGAGCTCCTTTAACATGTGAAATGAACATTACTTAATAGTGATTTGTGAAAACTACAAGTCTAAATGATAAGTTTCTAAAACTAACTGAACGTATAGAATGAAAATTCGACAATGCAAGATGTTTTAAACATTTTCCAATAACTTTGATCCGTTCTATTGTTTGAGATATTGATTCCTTAACAAATTTTATATGATAATAAGTACTGGAAAACTTTGCGAACCGTACGTTCGTGTCATAATTTTGTACAAATGGACAGAAATATTTTCCCGTTGAACATTTATCATGCTGTTATAGTGTAGTGTCTAGTTAAAACATCGAGTTATATGTTCTACAAGAATTATCAGTTAAAAATGAAAAAAAAAATGTAAAAAAGCTCTGACAGAGAGATTGCTTTTACACTGTTTTAAGGAACTCCACTGAGGTCCAATAGCCTAAAATAATAAATTTTGAAATTCTTTCTTAATTCCACTGGTCCACTTAAATGATCTGAAATTTTGTACATGAGTTATTGGTCTAAACATCAAGTTGTTCAAAAATCTTGAAAAAAAAAAATTCGGTCCCTTCACGCCAAAAACCCTCAGTGAGTCCCTTTAATATTATCGCAATAAAACATGTAAATGTACCCGTGAACTGGATCATCATGTCCTAAAATAATTATGATATATATATATATTTAAAGAACTGGTTCTATTCACCACAAAGAAGATATTCTATGTGCAGCTGAATTATGATGCCAGCTGTTCAAGGTTATTTAGATTTTATTACTATAAATGTCCCTATGAACAATAAAAGCTTTTCATACAATGTTGCCCTAGTTCATAAATGTTAATCTTATATGGAAATAAATGTAAAGAACAAAAAATATTGGACGCAACAAAAATGCTTATAATCCAGGAAAATACAAAACACTGAAATAATTTTTTGGCTTTGAAAATAATTCTACTTATTGACCTCTTAAGATTGAATTGAAAAAAAAAATGTCTGTAGCATTTATTTGCATTAGATAAGCTATAGAAAGAGTATCGTAACACGAGGCTATCTGATTTGTACAAGGAGGCGTATTAATCAGATTGCCAAGTGTTTTGATGTTCTTTCTCTTTTGTATCATAGTCAAACATGAAAACGCGTTCCCTTTTGTCACAGTATGAAACCCCAGAAAAAGATACCTATGAACGAGCATCTGAATATGATATTTCTGTCGATTTCCCTTTTTCTGCCGTCACAATAAGTAAACCCCACCAAAAATGTGCCAATCAATGGACATGCCCTGAAATGCGGGTAACTGATACCTACACTCCAGTTAACGCAATGTGCATGTATATGTATATAATTTAACTCTGACACTTTTTCAACCGAAAGGTCCCCAAACTATGATACAATAATTGTTTAAGTTTAAAAAAAAATCCAAAATATATATTTACTAAAGTTTAAAAAAAAAATCCAAATATATATTTACTAAAAAGCGAACAATGTAGATCTTGACCAGTTGGCACTACTTGAATTGGTTGCTACACAGTATTGAAATATTAAGGCACATATGCCTAAGAAACGGATATTTTTTCTGCCTTCAAAAAGGACACCTATGAGTTGTACAACGTTTAAAAAATGGTTATAGAGCATGTTAGATGCTTTTTACTTGGAGGACGTATCGCCAAATGTGAAATTATTTGTCATATAGATTTTTATAGATTTTATAGATTTTATTCAAGTAAATTCCAGAAGGTCATAGACCCATGAGGACAATATATTCACAAGTAATCAACATATTAACATAAAATGAATACATGCATAAAGAAATCAGCAGTTAAGTACATGATAAATATTTAACATTATTATCTGATACAATTCATCCGAAGTAAATGTTAGCATACAAATATTTTATTTCTATATAAAGCAATGCACATTATTATAAATTTTCTTAATACAATAACATGTGATAATTTTATATATTCACTAGCACAAATAGAATAGTAGCAAAATGTGTGATCGTCGTATCTAAGTATAATTTCGGTAACTACTACCAGCTGAGCTTGTCAAAATATAATAATTCAGGAGTCTCTATAAAATCAATCCGTAGATCCTAGTTACCTCTATCTTGACGTTCGAAAGTATCAAGATAAAGTGTGAAAGATCCATAGAAAACATATTACAAAGTATACTCAATATCAAAAATTTAAAATGATTTTATGTGAAGGAAAATGAAGTCTTGTTACAAAAACGAAACACAAGACTTCTGATATCAAATATGATGATCGTTAAATACAAAACGGTTTGATAGTTAATTAATAAACCTTTGTATGTGAGATTCAAATAATAACAATGATTAATGCATGATACAATTCATGTCTGAATATTAAAAAGTATGCTTGTTCTTATTTCGAAAGCTTTATTGACAAAAATACTCAGATTTCTTATTATTTTCAAATTCTCAGAATTAAATAGCTCTGTTAATTTTAACATATTTGGACGTCGCCAATAATAACAAGATATACACTTCTTTCGTATGAGATTATACATTGCACATTCTAAAACAAAATGATATTCATCTTCTATGACATTGCAATTATAACATATTCTTTCATTCAAAGGAGTGCATGTAGGTTTCGTCCATCTTCCCATTTCAATAAGTATTGTCATATAAGTAGCAAAATATGACCAAAGTAGTATTTTGACTTCCATATTAAATACTAAACCACTATAGCTGTAAAAAGCAATAAAGGTTCAGGTAAATGGCTTATTAGCAATTGTTTTTGTAAACTATAACATGACAACAAATAAAAAGCTTTTGGAAAATTAAAAAAAAATGAAAGCATTTTCGGACATAATGGTCTTTAAATTACTTATATGGAAAAAAAACATACACATTTATGTTCTTATAATACAGCCAATAACTTTTAATGGTTGACATGCCCTGGATATGAACAACTATTTTTATAACAAATGCTACCGATCTTGAATTGTGGGACATTTCAAAAAAGTACTTAAAGTCCCATCAATCGCATATATCTATATTTGATACATCATTAGTTCTTTCTTTTTACAAACCTTAATAATTGGGGTAAATATCGTATATTTTCAGGATAAATCTCCAGTTAATGCAACTTATGTGTAATAATTCCCACAAGCTGTTTCGTGTCTTATGTTAACAGAATTATTCAGGTTTATTCAGGTTTATAATTCATATAGATATGGATCTAAAAACTGTTATTCTTGTCTTTGTTTTGGCACTTAACTATAAAATCATAGCAGGTATATATTTCATACAATTTTATCATACATTTTTATAATTTTTTTATATTCTATCCAAATATTATGCGCTTATTTAATCAATTCAAGTATACAAATCTAGCTACAAATAAACACAGTTTCTTGATTTAACGTATTAAAAAGATGAGATTACTTACATGCAAACATAATTTTGTTGAAAGCTTAACATTTGCCAACAGAGTAAATGATAAAAAAAACCATTGAGCATTTTAATAAAATGTGCATTAATTTTGAAAGGTAGAATTGCACTTTACATTTGAAATGTTTTATTTGCTTACAGGCCAAGAAGTACCGGGTATGTATACATTTTGTATCTTCAAATCCAACATTATTGTGTAATTGGTGTTTTTGCAAGTGTATCATTCGAAACTACATATTTATATATGATTCTTTGTTACATTAAGTAAGAATACCATGTCATTAAAAGTATTAAAATTAAATCATATCAAATTTAATGAACCCAATGCTAAAATTGTACATTTAGGATTACACTATAAACAGTACAGATAATATTGTTACTTATACAAGTTGCTGAAGGGATGTACAGAAAAATATAGCCCGAATGAGATAAATATAACCCAAAGCGCAAGCCGAGGGCTTATGGTTACATTAGCAAGGCTATATTTAATGATATATCAATTAATGTTCCAATTTTATTATAAATTTTGTTTACAGAATGGTGCCGCCGACGTAGTCCACGGTTAAACTGCTTTGTTAACCCGTGTGACGTCATGAAATGTCCTGCGTTCCCAAACGCGGTGTGTCTGTAAGTGTTGTATATTTATTGCATTTATGACAAAATAATAGTATACAATAGTCACACTATCTAATGCGTAAAGAGAACATAACGTTTACCTGCCTCTTTCTCTGATTTTTTAAGTCTAGGCACATACGGGTGATTTTTATTAAAGATTTCCGAGTTATTAACAAAAAAGAAACATTAGCTTAATTCTTGCTAAATGTTGAATATTGGAATGTGCTATTATTTGCCATTTACAAAGCATACTTTTCCTTAACAAAGCTTGCAGGTTTTTATCACGCACATTTTTGTAATATGACATGCTCTTATGGCGTCATATTTGTTCTTCCTTTAATGTTAATTAACCCATTCATTAGATACAGTAGATTCGAATCTAAACTGGCATCCTTTTACAGAAATGATAATCCATGTGAACCAGCGTGTAAAGGTAATTTCTACATAGAGGGTAGACCAACGCTGTCCAAAAGAGAATGCAAAGGGAAAAAGGTAGTAATAACTAATGACTTCTTTCTAACACAATTATTTTGCCACGTGTTAACATATAGTTAACATAACAAAAACTTTTTTAGCAAAGAGAATAACGTATTTATTTGAATAAAGAATACTATTTACATGATTAGTTGTAAACGTTTTTTGTGCTTAAATGATACCAAATGTAGCATTTATTATAAGTATACTTTGATGTTAAGCGCTTTTGCATAATGTCTGAAAATCGGTGTCAACTCTTCTTTTAAAGTATGGATAAGAAAGAAATCATTGTTTTTAAATTTTGATTCTTTTTGTTTTCAATAGAGGAGAAAGGTGAAGATTCCGCGTAAGTATGAAAATATAAGTACATTTGTATGTAAACACACAAAAAAGAAAAAGAAACTGTACATGTATTAAAGGAACTCAACAGAGGTACAATAGCCTACAAAAATATAATTTGAACTTCTTAGATAAATCTGCTTGGGCACTTAAAACAGAAAGAAGCGAATGGTATGAAAGTTTAAACACCAGTTTTTGGCTTAGTCATTCGTCAAATGGAACATTAATATCTAAAACAGATTTACAGTCCCGTCATGTCATGAAACCTCAGTCGGGTCCCTTTAATGTATATATTATATAACTATTTGATATAAAGAACTCAAACAAGAAGTTATAACGTATGATAATATTGGATTTTCTATTCAATGAAAACTAGTACTTAATTTTAAAAGTATATGCAGATTTATATGGTATTCTAAAGCAATAGGAAATAGTTGGCTTTTGCTAAAAATGCTAACAAACCAAAATCTTTTTTTCTCTCTTGTATATTTCAAGTGATTATTTAGAAAATACTAACTTGCTTATTGTAGGATGGTGTCTAAACACCAAGCCAAGGGTTTGTAAAGAGAATCCCTGTAAGATTAAGAAATGCCCGGCTTATCCACGTGCCGTTTGCCTGTAAGTATGGCAAAACAAGAATTTGCAAGAAAATATGCACTGAGCACTTTGAACAATTATATATTAACGCCTAGTTGAAACTTTAACTCCCAAATGATATATCGTAGAAGGAATTTTATTAAAACAAATGGTACATAATTTTTTCAAAATTACAATGTAGGATATACAACACAAGTGTTTTTAGATCAGAATATCATTTTGTTTTCAGATTGTGACCAAAGTTAATTTCAAGTGACATTTGTCTTTACTTAGAGTTCAACTGATGTATTTAATTCTGACATCTTATTCATTTGAATCAACTTACTAGTATATCTTTTAAGTTACTGGTATATCATAGGCTTATCATGGTTGCTATTTTTACACTAATTAAGGGCTTCAAATCACACGCACGAGTACTTGCAGTATTTCATCATTAATCTTCCTGAATCCTTCTGTATTTAAATAGGACTTTATCCTAGCGCTTTACATTTTAGTTCTCAGCAACATTTTGAATATCTATATTTTATACAGAAACAGTGATCCGTGTGAGCCATACTGTGTTGGGGAATATTACCTGGGACGTCGTCTGCTGTCAACGGACGAATGTGTTGGAGCTGAAGATTAAGATCTGAAGTTATCAAAATTCATATATACTTTTCTGTCTCTTTTTGTAAAGTGTCAACTTCTTACGAGTGTTATGGATAAAACTACATGTACTTTACAACGGCAATAAAATTATCTGAATTAGCTTTATTTTAATTTTCACAAACGATAGATAAATGATAGGAATATGCTTTCTTGCATAGCAAACTGGCGTTTTCGTGTGTTTTACCCATGCCGGAAAATTCATCTGGCATGGGGGTGCCAGATAAGTCGCGTGCTGTACAATGGCATGCTTAAGCCTAGGTCACAAATAAGAAAATGCCGCCGGGCGGCGTCTGTTTCTCCAAAAAATCGCAATATCGGCCAGCGTCCGTCCGGCGGCAGTGACTATCGGACGGCAGCAGCTGAAAATTTTGCTCATCGGGCGGGCGCATTCGAGTTTTAAGTAATACTTAAAAGCTAACGGCGGCCGGACGATAATTTTGGGGGTCACTGAGTATAAATATCATCGAGCGGACATCGTTCGGTCGCCGGGCGGCGACCGGGCGATGATTCTTTTGATCGGGCGATTTTTTGTTCTGCTAAAACAGCGTCCGATTTAAAAGGCGTCCGGGCGGACATCGGCCGGGCCCCGCCCGGTGCCTGAATAGAGCTAAGTAGTCAAACGATTATCGCCCGGTACCCGGACGATTCATGTACAGGCACCGGGCGGTCATCGTTTTGTCATCCGGCGACCGGGCTGCTTGTGTTTGTTGTAATTTCAGCTTGAAAAAGTTGTAAATGCCTCAAAAATATATTAGTGAATTTCTTTTGAATACTAGTAAACACGAATTTTTCCTTCAATGTCCATGCGAATGTCTGATTGATTTTTGCCTTCTACGGCCTCGATACTGGCCGTTGGTGACTCGTTGTCAACAACACGGACCAACTCCTTGGCCTTCCACTTGGCTTTGGCAGCTGACTTCTTTGCTGGGATAATTACAACTGGCTGATTTATCTAGGATGTCATTCAATGTAAAGTCATTGTCGCCCGGCGCCCGCGCGGCAACCGTCCGATTCACTTTTAAATCGCACAGGCGCCGTACGGACATCGGGAAGTGACCGCCCGATCCGTTCAATTCTTTCTGTAAAATCCACTCGGCAAAAATCGCCCGACGACTGTTTCATTCATGACCACGCAAGGTATCAGATTTAAAATCGCCCGGCGTCCACGACATCAAAAAATCTGCCGATTTTATAAAAATCGTTTAATCGGACGGCGCCTGTTTTATTTGTGACCTAGGCATAAGGTTGACGTCATTTTACCGTTATAAATAGGGTTGCAATTTAATACGCTGTTGTAAGAAAATAGTTACGGCTGTAATGATAATGAGTTGAAAATTAAGATAAAGAATTTAAAATTCTGCCGAACCGCAACATATGACAGATATTATTAATACTCATTAGCGAAAGAAAGTGTGCACTTGGTTACTTTCTGTAAATTTACTTGAGCAAAACAGTGGGAAATTTGGTATCAAAATTTTCAGAAAGGTAACAAGGCTTTCAATATACATGACCTTTGTAGCTGCGAAATCTCTAAGCAAACATATATCGTTTGCAAAGTAAAAAGGTGGACAGTGACACATTCACAGGACAACTGCATCGATAACTTATATAATTATCATAGCAAATTTATAAACATGTTCAAAGGTTTATTTATCTTCTTGTCTTTGGCAACAACGGAAACCACCATTCAGGGGGTCAGATATAACATAAATTCAGTTCATTTGAAATGTATATATCCTGAAACATGAAGTCAAATTACAACAGTAGTATTTATACTTAGTTAAATTAATGATGACAGACAATCTTCAATGAATAAATGATTATCAATGTTGGAGCAGCATGGTGGTTCCCTTATTCCAGAATACACTGGCATATTTTTGCAAGCATTATTACAATAACAACTTAATTTTGTTGTAAAATTTATTACGTACCATCTTACATTTATCATCATTTAAACTGTACTGATGCCAGGAGAGAAATAAGAGGTTCAAGTTGGTATGATATGTAGCAAAAGAAAAATATGAATAAATAGCAGGGGGATTTTACAGATGTATTTTTTGACTAGGTGAATATTTGTATAAATGTGTTTCTACGCAGCTGAGAAAGCACGCAAATTACTACTAAAAACTAGTTTGAACTAGTTTGTATAAAAGAGAAGCACAATTGTATCGTTAAATAATTGTACGTATTCTACTATGCCACGGATGATAAAAGTCCGTCTTCCAACTCATTGTGGCATATTTTGTGAAAGATTTAGCAAAAATATATACATGGTCTATTTATGCAACATTGTGCTCAGTATTTACTTTAATCAAACAAATTAAAAACATAAATATTAGAAGTTTCAACACATACATTGGTTATAGTTCACATTGATAGGTTCATTTTGACGAGCAGTTAACTGTTTAGTGCATTACCGTCATCCGTTTGTTCATGATGAATCGTTATCAATTAAAGGGATTCCATTGAGATTTTTTTACATGATATATGAGACTGAAATTAATTTTTCGAGATCATTATCTGTTTCTTGTACATTTGCTGACTCCATTTTTCAAGAATAATTATTCTTATTGTGAAAAAAATGACTAAAAAATAAAAAAAGTAGTGTAACGCTTTTCATTTAAATCTGACTAAGAATGGCACAGAATACGATTTTAATTTATTTCTGAGATTATATCCTAATTGTCTTTTGCACATCTTTCTGTTTAACGTTCCTTAGCAGATCTATGTAAGAAATTCTAATTTTATGTTTTAGGCTTTTGGACCTCAGTGGAGTTCCTTTAAGCATATTTGTTGTGGTGATTCAATATTACAGAACATTTAAAATAAATAAACAACATAACAACAGAGTAAGAAATAAACAAAAATAAAACAAACTTGACATGCTTGTGAATTGGATTTCATATACTTCAGCATGCCAAATTATACGTTTCATATTGCACTTAAAACAACAAACTATCTTAATATTTTGAAAAAATTGTGCCAAGAAAAAACAACAAGTAAAACAGAAAACATGTGATGTTTATTTTTACTTCTCCTCTTGTAACAAATTTTATCTATAAAATTGAGGCTTTCTTGGCATGAGTGTGAGAAAATTTAGCATTTGCTGACAGGTTAAGTGTTTTGTATTCTTGGCAAGATTTTTCTCTACCTCGCATTTTTATCAGACTCGTTTTACTAACATTCAACAACTCATTTCACTGAAATTTCAAGAGAAGGAACCAGGAGTAAACTATTTGATGGATTTTAAAATTGTTGCCCTGATTTTATTGGGGTGTATAATAGCATCCAGTGCTCAAGGTTACCACTATGGTGAGTAACAATTGCAATTTCAAAACTTAATTTGTCTTTTATACAGTGTAATTATTGTTTGTAAATGTTTCTGTTGTTGTAATATTTTTTTTTCTGTTTTATTTATCATTATTATTAAAATAACGTAGACTGCTAAACATTTACAAAAAAGAGGATAATTTATAAATAGAAATAAGGAAATATATCAAAAAAATAAATAAGATAAATAAAAAATAAATAATAAAACAGGAAACTCCGTAAATTAAACGGAATTGAGGTTATTTTATCACACTTTTTTAACCATTTTCAGGAAGAAATAGACCCCGCCACAGGCCAGGTAATAAGATATAAGTTCCTTTCTTATTATATGTTTACATTACTTGAATATTATCCAATTAATTTCATTTTGTTGCACACTTTTTATAATAACGTAATGCTAAAGCTATTTTACAAAATATATCAAACTTACATATATATTTTTAAAATTTACTGACAAACAATACAATAAAAGCTGAAATATCTTTTTAGTATGACTTAAACATATGCTAATTTTTTGTAGCTCGGTGTGCACAACCAAATGCCATTCGCTGTTTAAGAAACCCTTGTAGTACTCCGAATGGATGTCCGAACTATCCCGACGCTGTGTGTGTGTAAGTAGCTGTAATTATTTGAATATTTGGATACATGTTTTCGAATCTATAAAAGGCATTTCAAAAACACTGAATTCCAAGAAGGATACAAGAACTTAAATATTGATTAAAATACTGTTGAAGAGAATTAGCGTTCATACAGTGCTGACGTATAAAATATCCAAGTACTTTAAGCGTACAATGCCTTTGTCAGGGGTGTTTTACATGAAATACAGGAATATTTACCCAGCAAATCATAAAATTCCTTTACATGTGTATTTTGAAGAAGCAAAAGGTAAAACGTTTATATACTTGTAGACATAACGGAGGCTATACTGTGACGTCATCAATCAATTAACATTGATGAGTTTGTATATTTCTTCCCCCAAAAGCATTGCTCGTTGTCAAAGTTTGTTCTTCATGTTGGCATGAAAATATTCAATATTTTTGGTCAAATGGCAAGATAAGTCATGAGTTGTGCCGAGTTGCACGTTTTTTTTGTAACTGTTTAACATTTGTAACACAAAAAGTAAGAAATATTACATCATTTCTATACAGCACTTTTCAATATTTCCTCCTTTTAAAGGTCCATTATGCTCCAGAAATGCTTCAGAAGATTGTATAATTTTGTGTACTTTCAGTTTCCAAAATGTTACAAACGGCCAATTTCCCGAACCATTTTTGCTTCTGTTGCTTTTTGGCAATTATTTCAGTAGTAGTGATTTAGTAACTTGTATGGAAGTCAAAGTACTACTTTGTTTACATTTTACTACTTATATGACAAATAATTTCACATTTAGCGGCGTTGCATTTTTTTGCGATAACAAGCACCCAACATGCTCTAAAACCATTATTTAAACGTTATAAAACACATGCTTGTCCTTTCTTAAGACGTAAAAATGTATTCATTTCTTAGGCATAATGTGCCTTTTAAACAATGTGACCAATCATGACAATTTGTACCTAGCTGACTAACGAACAATTAGGTTAAAACACAAGATAGGTATGTTAAGATAACAAACAACAATAATGTTTTAAGAGAAACAGTAAAAAGAGTATTGGTTGATATAACGAGCAGATGCGAAAACTAGAAGATGATATCATATAATCGTGTTTTTTAACTACGATGCTTAATCTTGTTTAATCTTGTTAACAACATATATTGATATGCGATTGCATATGTTTCTTTTTAAGTAATGATGATCCGTGCAACCCCTACTGTGTTGGGCACTATTACACCGGAGAACAACGGCAACTGTCTCAGGAGGAATGTCATGGCAACGTCGACCCAAACGATGGTAATGTGCATTTAACATATTTAAAAGTTTCCTAGCAGAACAGTTAGTAAATTGAATTTTCTTTTCAAATGCATCAAAGTTTATTTATACTGAAAAGGGTATGAGTAAAAATACACGTAGATGTGTATTTCTAAACATCTTACTTTTTTACCCGGGGCAATAGTAAAGTGTAATTATTTAATATTTTGAAAAAAAGTGCTAAAGTTAAGAATTTGTACGCGGCAAATATAACTATTGGATAAAACCGACATGATCAATTTATTTTGTTTGTTATAGAAACTGTTTACTTCATTAAGTGACTGCATTAACGCAAACGCTTCTTTATTATGCAGCATTGCTTCATGTGTTGACCGTGTTTACAAATTTGGCGAAAATTTACTTAAGGCAGTTATTGAGACTGGTGTTCAAATGACACATCCAACAATTATCTATATGAATTACTTTATATGAATTATTTTATGATATTGACTTGTTTACAGGCGAATGTCCCGAGGGAAGTCCGACATTACGTTGTTTAGTTAATCCATGTAGTGTAATGAGATGCCGTGCCTTTCCACAAGCAGAATGCAGGTAATTTACATACCTTCATCTTAGTGCAATCATATTAAATTTAGAGGGACTTAATCCGTTACTGCACTAAGGTGACGATACTCCTAAATGTGTGACATGATCATCATAAAAGGATTTAACCGCCAAGATTTCTTTCACATTTAATTAAGTTTTAATCAAATTGTAGGCCAAATGAAAATATTACGAGCTTAAAGTGGTTTAAATCGGCCACTCTCTTTGTAAAACTATTTTGAGTTTAAACAAAATTTGATTGTCATAAAAATGTATTTACTTATATAAAATAATTATCATAGGATATACATGTAGAAGATTCAATAAAATATTTAGAATACTGAAAACTGTTTAAGAAACTGTGTCACAAACATATTTTATGGCGTGCTTGCTTAAATTGTTTGAAAACAGCTGCGCATCGTGTTTATTTATATGACTTCACGTTCATGTAATGCCATACTTTTCTTTCAGGAATGATAACGCCTGTGAACCAAGCTGTGTTGGTCATTTTTACGACGGTGATAGACAACTCAGCCGACGTGAATGTCGTCGCGGATACAGACGAAGAAATAGGATACGTACACTGTAAAAACTGGAGTGCTACTTTACACCAAAAAATGGAGGGAGCTCCAGCTGCCGCCCAGTTTGCTGTTTACTTGTACCTAGAACATGCCCCAGGGAAAAAAACTGACTTTCATATTCACCTTAGCAGTCAAAAGAGTTTTCTTTCTTGCAAACACCAAATTCTAAAACAAGACTCCTTGTGTTCAAACTGTTGCTATGCATATTTTCACACAATCTGACAAATTAAAAAATAATATGTCTTCTCTGCAGATTCTTCCGACTTTTTATATCAATTTCGATTTGAAAATACTTGTACTAATAATGGTATTGAAATAAAATACGTATTTGATATCAATCTTATATCTCGAACTCTTTTCTCTTTATAAATATCTTTATTTTTGTCAGTAATGACGCATCAAATATTCTATTATATGTTTTAATTTATTGGTATTGATTTGAACAGAGAAATCCACTTATTTTTAACTTCTTACTTTGAATTCTACCAGATTGCATCTTTAAATCAAATTATAAAAGTTAATAAAATACATTGTTATTTTCCGTTGTTGTTGTATTTTGTTGTTGTATTTTGCTGTTGTTTTTTATTTTGAGCGAATTATTTAATGTTATATACAATACTGTTAAATGGATGATTTTATACAACTGTATTGAATATTTCGATCATCTTTCTTAATGAAAGAATAAAATCTTTTTAGCCATATTGGTGCAGAAATTTGCATGCAAAATTGAAATGTAAGTCCTGAAAATTTAAAAAATAGATGGACCAATGGTAAGATATTATTTGTCATTGATCTTTGGAGACCGGCGGAGTTTTGAAATGTTGAAAAACTAAAAAAAGAATAACAAGATAATATATAATACGAAAAGGCTGAATTGATTTTGACCACACTCTGTTTATGACATGTTCTAATTAAATACAAAAAGTTTCAAGACCAGTAACAACACCATTGGATTGAGCTATTGAATGTTGAAAATTATGGTACATGTACTCCGAGAAAATAAAATGTAACAATATACACATGGAAATAAGTTAAGTTCATCCGGATCGAAATTTAAAATTGGTTGTGATTGTCATGAGATGACGACTTAATTGGGCTAAAATAAATAGCGATACCAATTTAGTAACCATAAACCCGTAAATTTAAGAGTTTAGTTTATTCTTAACCAAATTATTGAAGCATAAGCAAATGTGTTGTTTTTTACCAAAAATGTAAGTGTTTATAAGTATGGTGTTGGAGCGTTTACAAAACATTTACTGGTGGATATTTTTGGTAAATGTTGACGATTACGTAACCTAAAATGACATTATGTAGCCAAATTTTTAATAACGTGTGTAACCGCCACGTGCCCGGATGATAGCCTCAACCCTTCTCCTCATACTACCAGTAAGGCGTCTAATGCGATTTTGAGGTAAATTTTGCCATTCTTGGTGCAGAGCTTGTTCCAGTTGTTGCAGGTTGACTACAGGTGGTTTGTACCATTGCCCAAATAAAATCTAAAATTTCAGTTGTGGTCATTTCAAAATTGAGGCAAAATGCCGGTTGCGCTAAACTTATTTCCAGGTGTATATAAATTTCATGGGCGTTTAAGGACATTTTACGACCAATCCTACGGCAAATATATATTTTTAGATATGGATGTCTCTCGACAGTAAATAATAAAAGAAAGCAGAAATACTTATAAGGAAATTCCCATAAGAAGTCTTTATATAAGTTAATGTCCATAACATCATATTGTTAATATAAAATATTAACAGATCCTTGACTAATTTATAATTAAAACGGATATGTAAAGCTATACAGAATAAGTGATGGATGGAAGAGGCGACTCTTAACGTGTTGACTATGTAAAATTTAGTGTCTCAGGATTATCAAGTCATTCGGCGGGAAACGTTATTTTCCTAGTATTTAGTTGTTTATAGAATAAATACGGTATCTGTTTCTTTAAATCCTGTTGCAAAGTTTTTATTTAATTGCTTTAAAAGTTTTAGTTTTTCACCGGAATGACAAATCAGATTATGCAATACAAATGCATCAAACAGCTGTAAAGTTTTAATTTCAGACATAATATTTGATCAACTTTCAACAAATAATTTAAAAAATACATATTTCCGATTCATTTACACATTTTTCTAATAATAGTAATAATAAAAATAATAATTGTAAAACGTTATTTAATGATGCCATAAACCAATGATGCCATAGACCGTTCATTATTTGATTTTATTCTTTTTTTCTTTTAATTTTACTTTAAGTTACACAGAAGTTCAGACTAACCATAAGCATGTTCACAGTAGACTTATCTTTGTCAATTTTCCTATGCATATCAACATTTTAGTCTCAACACAGCTACTAAGTTGGATTTTATCTCGCACCAACACAGCAAAGGTCATGTGGCGACTTGTCAGCTTTATTGCCGGAGGAAAACTTCGGATGCTCCTTCGTGCATTATTTCAGACACAAACAAGCACCTGAGTAGAACCACCGGCGTCCAATAAGCCAGCTTGACAACTTCTTCAGATGAACGAATCCCAAGTCTTTGACGGGGAATCGAACCCACAGCGTTGAGGGGTTCACAACTTACTAATCTATCCGCCACAGACGCCCCGTCTCAGTACAGCAGCATGGACTTTTATTATATTTGGTTGTTATATTTGGGATAAAGCAACAAACATAGTATAATTTATTTCCTTTTCTTTATTAGATATTGATTGATAGCGGATCAAAGCTATATTTTAAGCAACGAAAATGTGCAAAATTTCAATCAAAATTAATAATAGGAATAAGTGCAACGTCCTTATGAAATCAAAACCACCAATCATTGTATTGAACTACATTAATCTAATGAAAAATAAGATTTATTTACATATTTTAGTACATTTAAAACATGATCAATGTTACATAGTTCAATAAAGATAAATAATAATTTAATGTATGTATCGGTATACTTGACAACTTTGATTTTTATTGTTTTATACCTAATTTATTCGTTATTTTTATCGACATTACTCTTATCAAAGTATATTACATCAGAATGTATGTGCTATAAATCGTCTTTTTATGTCGTTTATGACCGACATTTCAACCTCGGAAATGAAATTAACCTAGGCTTGCCAATGTCGATCAATGACTTAATCGTATTTTCATGAATAATTATATAAAATTTAGTTAATATAAAAATATAATATCACATAAATTAGAAGGTAAGTCAATTCTATCATTTTTGAACTAGATTAAGATTGCTTTAAATAGACATAGATAATATAAAAAAATATAATAAAAAAGAACCAAATCAGCAATCTGTGTCAAATATACATGTACATGCATCAGAATCACTCGTCTGTTTACCATTTTATTTCTCAGAAACGCTTTTTTGATCGTTAAAGCTGCGTTTTATAAAATTCATACGACTAGAAATACCGACATTTTGTTAATAAAATGCGTTTCATATCGAATCCCGCTCTTATGTTGGTATCCAGACAACCAAAATGTTTTATAAGCATAAAAATGAAACTCCATTGTGGCGAAACCAGAGGCGCTAATTAATATTGTTTGCATGAGAAACTCCCCACTCGGGTCATCCCTACAATAAACAAACATGGCTATACGTAGCTGCAATGATTTTGTAACGTTGTCGAAAAGGATACAATATCGGCAGAATTCAAATAAGTGTTAGAAAGGGGATTTAATTGAATACTTAGTTTGAAATCATCCGTATGCTAATGAAAACATGTACCTAGTTTTTTTGCCAACATGAATGAAGATATAGTTCTGAAAAGAGATAATTGGTTTTAATTTTACTTTCTTTTGATGTGATGATGTGTCAAAATACTTCTTTTAGTAAACATTTTTGGTATATGCAGAGGGAATATAAGGACAAAAAATGATTCATTTATTGACCAGTAACAGTAGGCTCTGCACTAAGCATTGCGATTCTGCTGGAATGTTCAGTTAGCCGAGCAACTCAGCAGGGAATTTGCAAATAAAGTGTAAAATTGATGCTTTGCTAGAAAACTAATCTGGTTGAGCAGCTTAGCAGGGCATTTCAAAATAAGGTGTAAAATCGATGCTCTGCTAGAAAACTAATCTGGTTGAGCAGCTGAGCAGGGCATTTCAAAATAAGGTGTAAAATCGATGCTCTGCTAGAAAACTAATCTGGTTGAGCAGCTGAGCAGGGCGTTTCAAAATAAGGTGTAAAATCGATGCTCTGCTAGAAAACTAATCTGGTTGAGCAGCTGAGCAGGGCATTTCAAAATAAGGTGTAAAATTGATGCTCTGCTAGAAAACTAATCTGGTTGAGCAGCTGAGCAGGGCATTTCAAAATAAGGTGTAAAATTGATGCTCTGCTAGAAAACTAATCTGGTTGAGCAGCTGAGCAGGGCATTTCAAAATAAGGTGTAAAATTAATGTTCTGCTAGAAAACTAATCTGGTTGAGCAGCTGAGCAGGGCATTTCAAAATAAGGTGTAAAATTGATGCTCTGCTAGAAAACTAATCTGGTTGAGCAGCTGAGCAGGGGCATTTCAAAATAAGGTGTAAAATTGATGCTCTGCTAGAAGACTAATCTGGTTGAGCAGCTGAGCAGGGCGTTTCAAAATAAGGTGTAAAATCGATGCTCTGCTAGAAAACTAATCTGGTTGAGCAGCTGAGCAGGGCATTTCAAAATAAGGTGTAAAATTGATGCTCTGCTAGAAAACTAATCTGGTTGAGCAGCTGAGCAGGGCGTTTCAAAATAAGGTGTAAAATCGATGCTCTGCTAGAAAAACTAATCTGGTTGAGCAGCTGAGCAGGGCATTTCAAAATAAGGTGTAAAATTGATGCTCTGCTAGAAAACTAATCTGGTTGAGCAGCTGAGCAGGGCGTTTCAAAATAAGGTGTAAAATTGATGCTCTGCTTGAATGTTCCTCAGTCTGCAACAACACAGGAAAATCCAAAATGAAATGTTAAATAAATGTTCTGCTGGAGTGTTCAACTACCTAAGCAAGTCATGGCATTCCAAAGTAAATCGTAAGATCGATGTTCTGTTCAACTTAAGAGAAAAACTTACTTTAATAGAAAGATTTGTAACTGGAATGAACTGTATCTATTTCGAACTGTTTCCACATTTCCTTGTTTATATAATCTTGGATCTTGTATATGATATCTTACGCTATATTTCCATTTCTTTCTTTCTTGCTTTCCTAATTGTTGTTATGTTACAACAAATCTTAACTCAAATCGTACATTACATGCATGCTTCATAAATATGAACATAAATAACATTAATAAACAACTGAAAACTAATGTAATATGTAAATATAAAACTCTTTTAATGTTTAAATATTTTTATTATTTTTTTATTTAATTCTAATATAAAATTTATTTAAAGGAAAAAAAATTTTTTTAAAAAAAATTTTTTTAAAGATATATTTAAAAATTTTTGGAAATTAAAAACCAAAAGCCCCAAACAAAAACCCCACATTAATTTTCCAAAAAAATTTAATTTTTGGGATTTTTTTTTCTTTTTTTGGGTTTTAACGTTAAAAGTTTCTTCTTTAAAAAAAAAAAACCATAAAACAAAATTTTAATTTGGGGCCGCGTCAGACAAAAAAGAAAATTTTTAAGGGGGTTTTCCCCGACCACCCAATGGCCCAAAGACCACCCGGCGCATCCCGCGAAAGGTCTTTTTCAGGACCCAAATGCTTTGGGCTTCCCAAAAACTCTATTAAAGAAGAAAAAATTTGTTTAGCGAAAAAAAGCAGGGTTTCCTGATCAAAACTCCCGGGGGTTTTGCGCAGGGGGTTTTTGGATCCGGGCGGGTCCCAAACGAAACTTTTGGTTTTTTTGTCGTGACGGGGGCCTCATTTTTTTAAGCTAGAAAAATTTGTTTTGGGGAATCCTCCTCTTTTATAGCAAAAACTTTCTTTAAATTAAACTCTTCCATTCAATGGAAAAAGCTGGTCTATATTGTTAAACCCAAGGGGTTTTCCCGCCCCGTTTTCCCTTAAAAATTAAAAAAAAAAATTTTTGGTTTATTTGCCCAAGAAAAAATTTTACAGTTTTCAAATAATAAAAATTATAGTTTAAGGGAATGATTAGAATTTTATTTAAAAATTTAGTCTATACCCTTTTTTTTTTTACCTTTGTTGACCCCACAGTAAATTTTGTTTTTCAATTTTTAAAAAACTCGTGCAAAAACATATAAAACAATTCAATTTACCCAAAATACCAGTAAAAAGATATGAAACATTGTTAAACATAAGGGTTTTTTCTTTGCCAACAAATGTGTTTCCAAATGGTTTTTGAAAACCATTTGTATGATCCGTTTTCCATTTAACCCTGAGATTTTGTTCCACTAGATATGTTTTGGGTCAGTTTATGCCAGTAAATTTGATTTTAAGATTGTAAATCAAATGTGCTGTAATTGTGTTGTTCTTGTTTTTTTTTTTTTTTTTTTTTTTTTTTTTTTTTAATCTCTCAAAATTTTATACAAAAGCGGTTCTGGGCCTACAAGATTTTTTTAAAAACTTGAATTTTCTTTTCCTAAAAACCATGGAAACTACATATATTTATTCCAACCTTCCCCAGAAATGTTGAGGACCAATTGTAACATAAATGTGCCAAAAGTTTGAAAATAATGGTAAAACTTGGGGCCGACAGACTTAAATGGAAAGTGTGTAAAAAACTTTTTAAACCGAATCCTCACGCTCCAGATTGATGTAGTGAAAATTAATTTCTTTCCCCCATCTTTCATGTGTTTGTAAGGGCTTTGTGGGAAAATATTTTTAAACGGGAAAAAATTTTAATAATGAGTTTTTTATTAAAAAATTAAAACAACCAAAAACTTTCCAAACTCTTTTTTTAGGGAAATAATTTAAAAAAACTGGATTTTTGGGAATTAGACCAAAACTTGTTTTTTTTTTTTAATGTCAAGGAAAATTTTTTTGGAGAGAAAATTTTTAAAAAAATTAAATTAAAAAAGTTTCCTTTTTTCCCTTTGCTTTCCCCCAAAGGCATACTCATCCATCTTTGGTTTTAACCCATTCCCCAAAAAAAAAAGTATAAAAAATTCATTTAATAAGAAATGTTTTTTTTAAAAAAAAAATTATTAAATACCTTTCCCAGGGAGTTTTTTAAAAACCGGGCTGATCCAAAATTAATTTTGTAAAATACTTTCGAAACTTTATTCAGGCTACTTATTAAGGGTTAAAGAACTTCTTGTTCTTTTCTGTCGCTTGTGCAAGATTTTTTGAATGCATTTTAATAAGATTCAAGGCTCGTTATGCCCCAGGAATGCTTTAAGTTCTATTTCTCAAAAGCATTTATATTTTTGGTGTCATGTTATAGTTGTCTATAGTTACTCAATGACCGAACACCTAAAATTTCTTTTGTTTGTGTTGCATTTTGGCAAAAAGTACAGCCACAATTATCTTGTATTTTGTGCTGCAGTCAAAATTCAATTTGTTTTACATTTTGCTACTTTTATGACAAAGAATGTTACCATTCATCATTTCTTTCTTCAGGTGATAACCATCTAACATGCTCTAGCGCATAATTCAAACGTAATAAAAAACAATGTTTGCTCTTTCTAAAGAAGAAAAAATATTCTGAGCTATAACGTGCCCTAAAATTTCAACACATTTCTTAGTTTGCAAATCATAAAACACAACAATTGCGTTTCAAATTTTGAAAGTTTACTCTGAATAATACATATTGCTATTTTTTTATCATATAAAAATTTATGACATTGAGAATTCTTGACAACAAATTATGTGACATTGAAATTTCTTGACAACCTATTAAATAAGGAAAAAAGTATTCGTGTTTACCTGCCTCTCTGAGATATATTGCCTTTCCTTGAACACAGTCCAGATAACACTTTCATAACAGTTTGGTGTTGTTAGTGACCCTCTATACCTGAAATACTTCTCCGGCGAATTGGGTAAAAATTCAACCAATGGTATATATTGAATGTCTACCTTATTCTTCAAGTCTGGAATTCAAACCAATAAAAACTCTTTTAGAAGATTTAAGAAGATTTAAGGCAATCTCTTGTTGTTTTTGTATTTGTTCATGGTTGAAGGCTTAAGTAGAAAAAAGTGAATGCGCAATGTGTCGTCGATCAATAATGAAATACATTTGATACCTAGGAACTGAAAACTGAAATAATTATAAACAGGTAATATTAGACAAGTTATCCGAAGCAAGAAGTATGCCACACCCATATGACTTTTCTTACAAATATTATCACTACGACTATCAAAACACGTACCTGGATCTCTTATTCTAGGAATGGCCTGTACAATCCCTTCCATTACTGGGTTATCAAAGAACGAAACATTAAATAATATTCCCAAAACGACAAGTCCATCAGGCGATTGCGATGCCTCAACATAACTTTTATATTTCTCAACGTTCCAACTAACTATGTGCATCTGAAATGAATTACTTAAACATTGAAAGTCACAAAACATTTTGTTCCTCGAACCCTCCTGATAAGTTATTGTATTTGCAAATGGTTAGTTTTATTTGAGAATTTAGATATCAATATAAACAAAGAAACTGCTTGCAGTTTACATTGTGGCTAGAGTGCACAGATGCGAAGTCTGGCCAGGCTTTATACTGGATGCACAGACAAGTCAATTTCCCTGCTAACGTTCGTTTGATTATTGAAAGTTGGCAAATGTTGCATCCGTCAAGTGATTCATTAGAATGTTCTACATTTTCAAATTTAAACTCTTAAATTTATGTGCGTATCCAATGTTTTTGTTATGTTTGCACAACAATGCACACAACTGAGAACAATAGGACTTTTTATCTATTTACAATCACAGGGGATTCTGTCAAATTATTTCCCACTATATACGATAATATAACAAGGGATACAACTCAAAATTGCTCAATTCATGAAAAAGTAAATACAACGCAGTATACAACAGTTTTTTTCTTCTGATTGTTGGACATTGATGAAAGAATCAATAATTTAAAAAAAATGACTCACTTTGTTACATGCACAAGATATTATTTAAAAAAAACCTTTCATGTTTCATTTTTACACACGTTCGTAAAATTTCGGTTTGTAAAATTACACGTGTAAAACGACATCTTATGCAAACGTATGCTCATATAAGAAAGTTTAATCATGTAATCGGTTAAATATTAATTATCCACCACCATCAATGATGCAATCATTAACTTCTGGTACAAATTATTGTAACAATTTATGTTTGTTTTGATAATTTCTATCCTCGGCTTCCATTTTGATGTTGCCCGTATGTTCCAATGCGTAAATCCAACTTCTGTTAGTAACTGTCAATTTCATTGGCTAATGAATAATAATAATCCGGATAATAACGGCATATAGCCGCGACGAATAGCGGTTTTTTCATCAGCCAATGAAAATACTCGGAACATAAACACACCTGCAAAATGGACGACAACTTGACAGCCAATGTAAATATTGAAATGTTAGCTATTTCCTGCAATGTTACAGGTTTTAATGAAGTGTTTGTAGTAGAACTTGGGTAAAGACTCGTTCATATATTAACTTCTACAATAACTTTGATGGAATACAGGATATTTTATACAGTTTACACGTGTGAATGCATTTTACGAACCCGTGCTGGTAGTGCGAGGCCACGACTTGTATCCCTTGTTTATATTATATATATAGATTTAAGGTATTAGGACCCTAATGGGCACTATCAGGAACTAAAAAAATGACATCATAAGTCAGATGTATACCTTAAAGTACACCTGTATGCAAAATTTAAACAAAGTTTACCGTACGGAAATCAAGTTATGGCCACTTTTCTAAACTCAAGCTAGGATGTTATGAGGGCCCTTTTTTAGAAAGTAAGAACCTTTAAATGGTAAGAAACAAAAAGTACCATTCAGCTAACAATCCAAATAAGCAAAATTATGGTTTCTACTTAAAATTTATGAAATCTGTATAAAAATGTTACCCTATCCCACCCTTTTTTACCACGTGTCTGACCATTTTTCTTCTTAGGGAGCCTAATTTAAAAAATTCTTTAAATTTACCCAAATGAGTGCCTGTTTTCAAAGTTTCCCTACATTTTAAAAAAAGTATATTGCTTGATCTTGTAAAATATGAAATACTTTTACCGACTAGTTTTGATTATATTACACTTTGAAAATATCAGGTACCATATTTATTACTATATTTAGCATAATTTAGCCAATAAATACCTATATAAATTAAAAAATCAAAATTAAAGACTTTTTTCTTTCCAAATGGGACATGAGAGATACTTAAATAATGTTAAAAGAAAAAAAGAAAGAAAGAAAAAAAGTTGACCCTTCTGGGGATTGAACCCATGGCCCTCATTTTCAATGTAGTTAACAGTAGTTCTAGCCTATTTGAATACTCTTCAAAGCGGGGTGCTAATACCTTAATAAAATAATGACAGATTTCCCTGTGTTTACAATGATAATACTTTGGTTGCATCTGTTTGACTTCTTTTATATTATTTTATCAAAATAAACGTCCTGTTTGCAATTAGTTGCTGTATGTTCATAAGTAAAACATCATCAACAGAATATCTTTGATTTATTTTTGTTTTCTTTTTCCCCCACCAGATAGACTTCCAGCTCTCGCAATAGACCATAAAGGCGTCAATTACAGTAAAAATTGTAATCGTTTGGGATTTTAAGATCTTATTAAGTACCTCCATTGATTCAGCCGTCTCGTAAATGGTATGCTCTGCCCCTTGGCCAGCAGAATCTCCCCAATGAAAATGAAACTGTTCTATTTTGTAGGTGTGTCGGAGTCCACCATTGTCGAGTAAGAATATTCCTTGTGTGTCAACTTGAACTAGTTGAAATGAGAACATGTTTAAAGTTCATATTTATTACATAATTAGACAAAGTAGCAAAGAAAGAAAAGAAATTTAAATACTTGAAATAATTTTCTTGATTTCATGTTTAAGGATAATCATAATTGAAACGAAATTAATAAAAGTAAAATTATGGGGTCCTTTGACTTTTCTGTATAAGCGAGTTTTTTTTCGATGTCATTTTCAACAGCAGGAATATCTCATCTGACATCAAGATTGTGCTTGTTATTTCCTGTCAGTGTGCAACATTTGCTGACATTACTTTAAATTTAGAGTTGTTTTACTATGCAAAGTTATCCTGTTGTCTCTCTTTTATGAAGAAAGCTGCAATAATGTGAATTTGTTGAAGCATAGCAAAGTGCATCTGTAAGATGTATTTTGCTTTATGTGTTTGTTTCAATTCTGATTTCATATAAGAATGCAAAGTTTAAGAAAAATCTGCCGACTAATATAAATCAAAGGAAAAGTCTGTTATTTGATATCAAGTTTTACTAGTTTATTTCTAAGAGTAGACATGATTTTTGCACATACTACGAAAAAATTCTTTACATTCATTAAAAAAAGATTACAACTGACGTATCTTATAGAATTTTTCTCTCTATGAAGTAGTCTAAATAATCTTCTTAAAATGTGCGATTCACAGTTATTTTATTTTAGCATTTATATAATATTATTGAGTGTATCTTTGTAACATGTGGTTATATTGCAATTGATATACTAAACCTGTTAAGATAGATATGGTTCTTTCTAATTTTCATTCCTAATTACTTGTACAGATTTGTTAATTATCTTTGACTGATGAATAAAAACAATGCTTTTAAAACGTACTTGATTTCCCGTTGTTTTGTATTGTATATTTGGCATGTGGTGGTGGCGGCTCGTAGATATTGAACGGTGTTAGATATCGATTATAGAAAGTTTCCAGCGGACGAATGTCGACCGGAGATTGAAATGTTCCTGCGCACTTGTCAGGAAATAGTTCTGGCCATTGTTCTGGTCCTATACCATTGTATATATATTTAAAAAAAATGTAGCATAAATGTAAAATGTGAATAAACAAGAATTTAATTTATTCTGCATAAAGATTTAGTAAAATATATAGACAAAATTATTTACAAATTAAACACTATTCTTTTTATACATATGCTCTAATTTAAAATATTAGATAACCTGAATAAAAAATAAAACAAAGGGAAAATAAATACGAAAAGTACTTACCATTAAAATCGCCATATCCCCATTTTATGGCTGAAAAATAATTAATATATGAGTATAAAAATAGCTATTAAACTGGTCTTAATGTAAACACTTCTCTATTTTACATTCTTGCAATCTAGGTCCACTCTAATCTAAAATCCAAGCCAATTACTTGCTTATATGCACCATCACTATTATTTAACATATTTTGATATATTTTAATTAATGCACTTGACATATTCAAAGTATTGTTTTCTTTTAAAAAGAACTATATTCATCATTTTAGAAAATAACCTTTTAACACACGCCCCTGGGTAACAGTAACTATAGCCGACAGAAATACTGATAAATAGATAGGATCCATTCCGTGCGCTATATTACGTTACTTCAGTCGATAGACACCATATCAAAGTAACTATCGTCTTATAATTTTAAAGCATTTTACCTTAAAATGTGCACTTTATCTTTTGATAAATGTTAACTGTCAGTTAATTGGACAATTTATTCCGGTAAATCTAGAAAAGTTTTTACGCAACAATACGCATTTCGCTTTGCAAAAGTGCAGTTTATTTCAATTCTCCATTCAAATTGTTGAATATTTCCGCTATTTAATTTCTGTTAGATATGAATAAGACGCAGTCATTAAAGAAACTATTTCAGTCTTCCTGAATCAACTGTGCATTAATATATCTAAGTCAACAATTAAGATGAAAAGTCTCGAAGTAAAAAATTGTAAATAAACCGATTAATTTTGACACAGAAATCCATCAATTTTTTCTGAAATTGAACCATTAAAAGGACGTAAGAATGTCAAATGATTCTTTTTGTTATCACATAGAAATGCAGAGACATTCATTGAGCAAGGGAATGCCCCTGATTTGAAATTTAAATAATTGTGAAAAGCTTATTGGTTTATCATTGTCATGTTCTAGCAAGTTACATTTATATATTGTAATTAAAAATAAAAAATAACGAAGAATAGGAACAAGGAAAACAATAAGCGCACATAAGTGAAATGTGTGAACAATATTTATATATATCAAAATTTGTTTCTTTCGACTAGAGATAGAAATAACTCATTACATTATAACAGAGTAAAACTTGTTTAAGAAATGTTACATAACTGCACCGTGAACAAGTATAAAACATGACACGCTTGTCAGAATTCTTACTAAAAATAAATTAAGATAATTTGAACTGAAGTAGATTTTTTGCTCTTGTCATTATAACAAATAGCATGCATTGTGAAAGTTGCTCCGTTGTTGACCTCAAATCTTTGTCTAATCACATTATCTTTTATGTCACATGATTGATATATTGCAATAGAATTTCTTAAAAGCCCATTTTTCACAAATACGTTTTTATATGCCTGTATCGTTAGAGCCAGTACATAAACTTAACCAGATTCACTAATATATTGTTTAAGATAAAACAGAAAATCAGTATTAAGAAATAAAGATTGAGTTCAAATGCATGCATATAAAATCAAAGACATAAACTGGAAGAAATACATAGACTATTTAGAGATATAGCCTTCTTAACTAATACATTGTATTGTAAGTCGTATAACGTAACTAACATGCATTTCATTGAAGACCTTTATATGTGAAATGAAGAGTAAAGTTATTTTGTAAAAGTTAAGGTGATTTCTTTATTCAGTTTTTTTAAATATAATTTCAAAAAAAAAAAAAAAAAAAAAAAAAAAAATACTACCTCTTTTACTATTACATTTATTGTTAAACATGTGTAGTGGAGAAAATACTTTCATAAAAATGTGCAACCTTCTGACAAGCAAGCGAACTGTTCTCGGTTCCTATTATGATGTAAACTGTCATAATGTATTTTCTTTCTTTTTTCTAGCATGCTTGAAAAATCCTCTGTAGATATGACAACCACTGTGCACTTAACAATGAATTATGATAAATGCTGTTATAACACAATTCAGGTGTATACTAGATTATAATTCAAGATGTTTTCAACGACGGAAGATTCATCAACTTAAAGTTTAATTTGTATTTATATATATATAAAAGAAGCTGACATTTTATATTTTTTATCGCTTCATAAATTTCAAATGTACAAGTACTTGTTTCAAGAAATACACAACAAGTCTTGATGACAATTTACTTATAAATGAATCAGATGCACACAAATGTATCCTTGATAGATTGCAAAGAACATTGTTTTTTCCTGCTCTCATCTGATGCAGTCCCTTTGTCTTTCCTAGGTACACAACGGAGATACTTAAATACTTCAGAAAAAAAATGTTCTACTATTTTTTTTGAGCCTTTGGAACTAGAAAAAGGAACATGGAGCAACATACATTTGGCGAATACAAAGGTTATGGAAAACAATAACCTTTTCTGCTTTAGAAATCCATGTACAGTAGACACAATGTGCGATGTCGCAATTTTAGATTACGTTTGAGAAATATATGAGATGCTTCTAATGAGATGCAATCTGTACTAGCTATTTGTGAAACTGGCATCAGTAGCAACTCTTTCTTTCAACTATCTCGGCAAACTTTGAATTTTCGACCGACAGTCATGTAGTGCACATTCTGTTGAATCCAACTATTCAATATGCCCATAAACATAATCAAAAATGTATTTTAGAAAACAACAGCACTTGATATGGGACCGTTTTTTAACGACGTATTATTTTCTTGTAACAACCATTCTTTGTTGTTGTTGCTGTTTCTATTTTTTTATTTATCTATTTATTATTTATTTACTGTTAAACGCTATTAGGGACATTTAAGTGAACCAAAGTGAATATCAAAGTGGTATTAATGAAAAGCTTCATGCATATCAACAGTCTTGGTTTATTCGTTATTTTTGCATTATTGAGCGACATAATGTGCATACATATTTGAAAATCTTCATAATCACCAGCAACTCAAAAGCCAACAATAGAAGTTTATTTTAGCACGACGAAAATTAATTAGCTTAAATCGCTAGCATTTGACACCATTTTCATTGTCATGTTTTGTTTGATGTTCTGGTCCACAAAACATATATTCTAGTAAATGTCACCTGTCTCTCAGTTGCACATATAAATGTCATCAATGGTATTTCCGAGAATATATTGATAAAGATTTGTTTTTTTTCATCAATTTTTTCGTTAATGACATCGGCGGCTTTGTTAATAACATCGTGTTAAATGTATGAATGTAATTAAATGTTTACGAGGGCATTGTCTCCATACTGTGTGGTATTAGTGTAAGAAGCACGATGAATTTGTGGCTATCTCATATGGAAGGGTTTAAGAATAATGCCACTAAATTTTGTAAATTTTCTTGAAGTGGCAGTCTTTCAATATTTATTGAAAATATGAATAAGTCTTTAGCTGTATTACTGCAAGTACAATGGAAACTGCTTCAAGCTTTGAAATAAGGTCATTTCCAAACAGAAAAAACATACAACATCCCCACATGTCTTATTCACTGGACCATAGTCCCTGTGATTTTTTCTTGGTTGAACTTATTATTGAAGAATCTCTATTTGGACTTCGATATGGCTCTCGAAGTGCTTGAGGTAGTGTAGTTTTCCAGTGTCTACAGAATGTGTCCAAAGAACCGTCCTTTTTTGCATTTTAATGCTAGAAAAATATATTTTTGTTAAGGGTAAATACTTCAAAGGGTTAAGTAAACGGTATATGACTGCGCCTCATAACGCGGTCGGCATGAAGGAAGACACAATGACAATTTTAAGTACATAGTGTTAATATGGACACGCAAGCGCGATATGTTATCAGTTTTGAATTTTGATATACAGGAATCAAGCTATTTACTTTTTATCTGTTTTATATACATGTAAATGTAATAAATATAGCATTACGGCATTAAATTTCTTCTCCTTTCTTTTTCTAGATATTGACTGTTAGCAGATCATATCTTTGTTTCTGAGTAATTAAAACTGCAAATTTTCAGTCAAAATAAGTACCACACTTTAATAAAGTCTTAACTTATCTTTCCTTAAAGAATTTACCTAATGAACTTTAAGATTTATTTACATAATTTCATGATATTAACATTATTATTGTTGCTTATTAGACAAAAATATACGATGTCAATCTTTAAGACAATAACAGGAGGTACATTATTACATTCATACGTGTCGGTTTACATGACAACTTAAGAGTTTTATTGTTTTAAACAATGTTTATGAGTTACATTTGTCAACATTGATAAAGTATGTATAACCTTAATATACTTACAGAAAGTCTCTGTTCATGCAATTTTATGACCGATATTTTAACCTCGAAATTAAAATTGACCTTGGGCTTGCAAATGTCAATGAATAAATTAAATCCATTTTCATGAAGAAACAAAATAACTTTAGCTGACAATAAAGTTTTTAATATGACATAGGAAAAAGATGTAGATCGATTTTATTAAAGGCGGCCGGAAGCGGCTTCCTTCAAGTAATGCAATAGACTTTTGTATTCAGGGATATAGCAGCAGTGATAGTAAAATGTCTCTGATATAAAGTAAAATGATTCTCAAAAACTCGTAATCATACTATGCAAAACTATTATAAATAATGCTATTCTCTCATAGGAATAATATGAATATTTTGTAAAAAAGGTATTCATAGAAATGTTTTGGAAATAAAATGATTTCTCCTTGAAGCGTGCCAAGACTTTTCAACGCAAAGAACTTCTATAGATTTGCATGAATATAAATTCTTCACCATTGTATTTTGTTCAGCAAAAAGAATTCGCATCACAAGGTATTATAATTATATATTGATCAGATCATTTATGCCTTTTTGGGTTTTTGTAATTCTTATTATTTCTAATATTTGATTAAGGATAACGTGAAAGAATCCTACCTGATGTAAATTTCAATTATAAATTAAGAATCATTTGGTTTGCCTCTGACTTTATCTGATGATTATATTGGAAGCCTGTGGTATACACTTAGGATGTCAAAGGTCTTGAGTTTTAATTCCGGTCCAGGCAACAGGAAAAAGGTATCTTTTTTATTGTGTGAACATTTTTCTCAAGAAAAAAACAGCCAATTACTTAATAAATGGTATTTCAATTCAAATTAAAACTCCTGACCAAGCTAATTTCATATGTATAATATTCAACCTGTTATAGCTAAAGGAATCTAGGTGGTATTTTTTTTTTACATTTTTACAACTTTAAGAACCTTGTATAACTCTTCTATAATCTCTGTAATATCATAAATATTTATGTTGATAGTATTTAGTATTATTTGTGAAAACGAACCACAAACTATATATGGATGTTGTTGGTAAGTGTTTTCTATATGATCCGATATGACAAATCAATATATAGCAGACAATGAAGTGTTCTAGAACAAGTACTATTATTCATCATATATACAGTCTGTATGTTCATCCTAAATCACTTTTGAACTCTTCCAACATCCTGTCTTTCAGAATTTTTTCATAAGAATCAAATAATATACAA